AAAAAATTCAAATATTGGATTCTAAAAACATCTATTTTAAATAAATCATATCCAGGCTCCTAAAATAGAATTAACTGTTTTATTTAATCTGTTTGAATAAAACAAAAAATGCTTAAATGAAATAGGAAAAGTCTGTATTTTGGTTTTACTTTAATAAATGAACACAGTGCAATAACAAAATGCAAGTAGTTTCAGTAAATATATTAATATTATTGGCAAAAGATTATTGTCTACACATAATTCTATTTACATTAATGATATTTACAATGGTAGCCAAACACTGAAAAGTGGACAATAAAAAAAGCTGTAATGAATTAGCAAGTTGAAAGGGGTTTTGAAACGGTATTTGTGTTTCTGTAAGTGTACATTTTGATCTATAACTTCACTTCTAAAAATGATTATTATTTCAGTAAAATGATATAAATTGAACAACAAATTACTTTTCCAACAATATATTATAAATATACAAGACAATAGCCTGAGAGATGGCTCTATATTGTTGTTACAGTTTATCAAAACACTTCTTTTTATTCAAATATTAAAAGTAACTTTATAGGCCATGGTAATCCAATTTTTTTAATCAACTTTGGGACTACATTATAGATCTTATACTAAATGGAGAAGTTTGTTTTTGATTTATATACTTCAAAACTTTTGAATGGAGTTCAATTAGGAATAGACTCTTTAGAATGTGTTTTTTTTTTTTTTTTTGTCAATGATGGATCTGAAGACAGAACTAGGAATATTTCAAAAGCATTCATCAGTTTTAAATACTTTTTCTGGCTTCTTAAAATTTGGTGATTGTTTTGTTAAACTGTAGTTTTGCTGCATCCTTTGTCTGATGAAAGTAAATTGATTTACCATAAGTGTTTCCTTTTGCTGTTATATTATATTTTTATTTATTAAAGTAACACCAAAAAATATTATTTTTCTCCTGTTTATCTATTAAAATAATTGATGAATATATTATCCTTATCTTATAAGAAATGCTTAAACATTCTTCATATAATTTTCATTTATCTTTGTGTTTTGATAACTTACAATGGATTTGACTGACAGAAAGTCAATTTTGTATATTACAAACATTAATGGAAATCATGCAACTGTTAAAAACTATGACTCCAATGGATTTTGAGTAAACATGTAAAATTTTATGCACAGATTAGGTTGATATTTAAAATATTTTTGTTGTCATCAAAAACTAAATGTCTGATTTTCATTATGTTAATCTTTACATTTATATTTTCTATTTATATTAACAGCAGTGTTATGAATAATTTTTATTTATGTTTTATATAAGTGGTTACTTATTTTTCTAATACAGTGCTTTGGAAAATTATAATCTCACTACTAAAATGATGAGAATTCAACTCTAACAATAACTTAAGAAATGGAGACTAAGATAAAGTTTTAAAAAAACTAAGTATAAATCCAATCATACCCCTTGTTATATTATTAGATGTGTCTATTATAAAAAAATTTGCATATTTATAAAAAAACCACTAATTACAATTGCTGAGAAAATATAACCTCACTGAAAATAAAGGTATTGATTTCCAGATTTTTCTTATGAGTTTAATGAGACATGTATATAAAATTGGTTATTTGAGACAAAAATGTCATGTGGTAAAAGACTCTCTGATGAAGAAAAAGGAAATATTGAAATCTGTAGTTTGTCTTACCAATTTAGACCTACAAATTTATATAAAATAGTTTTGTAGAAGATCTGGAGTGATGAAAAAATTGGAATCTGGATGAGTCAGATCATTTCAAATCATGTTGGCACAATATACAAAAGGTCCCACAATAATCTCAAGAAGAAACTTCAGAGGTAGCAGTTTGATGGTTCAGAAGCTTTCAGTTTCCATGATGAAGCTCAGACTGGCATTTGTATCTTGTCATATGAATAGTGAGGTCTACTTGGAAGTTGGAGGATGCATTAATTTCCTTCCTTGAAGATTACAATGATATTTCCTGGAATAAATGCCTCAATCCATACAAGTGCCAGTACAAGGAACTTGTTTGCAAGTAACATCACAGTTATGTTCCATTCACCATGTCCACTAGATCTCAATCAAATAGAAAATGTCTGAAATTCTATTTTGAAGAGTTTATGTTAGTAACCAACAATATGGCACAGTCCAACAGCTCAGAGCAGCTATTCAAATGGCATGGGTCCATCTTGAACAAGAAGTTTCAGACAATCTCATCAGAAGCATGCCAAACAAAATTTTTCAGTTTCAGTATAATGGAAGTCTAATTAATTATTAAAACGTATTCTGTTGATACATTTTACTGAAATAAAAGGTTTTATTTCAAATGAGGTTATATTTTTTTAGCAATTGTAATTAGTGTTTTTTTTTTATAAGTATGCAAATTTTTGTAATAGATGCATCTAACAATATAACAAAGGATATGATTGAATTTCTACTTACAAAGAGGTCAGACATTCCAGTCACTGATTTGAACAACACTTGGTGATCATGTAGCTCTAAACACAACTATCATCTTATCTAAATACTAGGTCCCATTTCTCAAGCATTTCTGAAAAACAGGCTTCTGAAAATTGAGTGTTTAGCTTATAAGTCTATAAGTTCCATGTCTTTTTGGAATGGAGATAGTTGAATGGATAAGATGCTAGACATTGGAGCTACATGGTATGGATTTGGTCTTTTGCAATTTTAGTTTTTTTCCCCTATGTGTAACATAATTATTTTATTATTTTCCCATATTATTAGCATTATTATTATTACTATTATTATTCCTCATGTTTAAAGTTTACAAAACAAGAGATTAAAAATTGTGACATTATTTCCTGTTTAGCAAAAAAGAAATTTTTGTAAATTTATATTGTTAAATAAAACTTTTATTTCTTCATATTTATTTTCAGCTATGGTGGTATTGTTATATTTGAAATGTAACAAACATAAGCATGTAAGGAAATTGTCCGTAACATTAACATCATCAAACGATCGCCTTAAATAATCGGGCTATAACTCTGCTAATTTAATGATTAATACTAAGTAATTTGCTACTAGAGGTAGACATTATGTGCTTGAACCCACAATCTCCACTTGCCATGTGATGTGCTTGCCAGTTTTGCCAGATGGACCCCAAGCTAGCCTTCACTTCCAGATATATTTAAATTTAGATATAACTTTATACACTTACATCTAAATTTGCTATTGTGGATTTGTACTTAGGCCATGGATGTAGGAGTCGTCCACTGCCAGTGTTGTGATTAACCACAAAAGGGGTTAATCACATTTAAATTTATATCTAAATTTAAGTATATCTGGAAGGAAAGGCTAACTTGGGGTTGGATGGTGCAACAGGCAAGCACACTGCATGGTAAGCAGAGATTATGGGTTCAAGCCCTGCTCCAGGTCAGTTCTTTTCTTCTAGATGATTCTAAATTATTTATTAAATTATTAAAATTATAATTATTAATTTAGTTAAGAGATGATGCCTAATGTCTACCTCTAGTATCAAATTACTTAATATTAATCATTAAATTAGCAGAGTTATAGCCTGATTACAGTAGACTCATGGTAATCCAACAAACGTTTTGCAAGGCGGTGTCGGATGATCGAATTTGTCGGACTATAGAGTACTGCCACTGACCCTTTGTAGTCCAGAACTTTTTTGAAAAGGAGTACCTTGTAATCCGACAAATTACATACTTATAAAAATGGTAAGATCAAATCTATATGTACTACATAATATACAATATAGGACTTAGTGAATTAAACAACACAATAGATAGCATAGGGTTTATTATAAAATTAACGTCATTAATGCTATAGCACTTGCAAAAAAATAATAACTAAACATATTGATGCCAATCGATTACATACAATGTATATAAGTATTTCCAAGGTACAGTACATACTGTGTATGATCTTAATTTTAAAATGGATAAACAAATAAATTTATGGTGCATCAAATATTCATCAATTTTCTTTTGTTTTACATTGGCTAAATGTGAGCGTAGGGCCTTGTCTCTCAGTCTCCTCAGAAGTAAAAGTTTGTTGTACAATGTACCATTTTTTTTTAGCCCATTGCATACCAAGCTGCATATAGGCATGTCAGATTATAGGGGGTGCCGGATTATCATGGGTCTACTGTATTTACAGTAATTATTTGGTGATGTTTCTATATACATATTGGGCTTTGTGATGTTTGATATACTCATAACATTAAGAATTAAAAAAAATACTCTGTGACTATGCCATATATTCTGTTTTCATATCAGACTTGTTTTTTTTTTTTTTTTGTTCACATGCAGTAACATCTGAATCTTATTTGTGGACATTTGTAACATGAAGCAAAAATATCTGAAAATAAATATGAAGAAATAGAAGTTCTATTTAACAACATAAAACAGTTAAATCTACAGAAACTTCTTTTTTGCTAAACAGGAAATGACATCACAATTTTTAATCTCTTGTTTTGTAAGCTTTAAATGTGAAGAATATTAATAGTAATAATAATGCTAATGATATGATAAAATAATAAAATTATTATCTTACACATTTAAAAAAACTAACTAAAATCACAAAGAATTGAATCCATATCATGTAGCCCCAGTGCCTAGCACTTTATCCACTTGGTTATTGCCATTCTGAGAAGATAGCTTCCAGACTTATAACTAAACACTCAATTATGTTAGACCTATTTTTTGGAAACACTTTAGAAATGGGTTTTATTATTTGGACAAGGAGCTGTTTGTGTTTAGGGCTATATAATCATCAAGTTTTGTTCCAATTGAGACCCGAACAGCTAACCCTTTCCTTGTTTAGTTTTATAAAACTTTTATCGTTGTCTCCATTTCTTTACTTATTGTTATAGTCCAATTCTTAACATTTTAGTAGTAAGGTTATAATTTTCCATAGCAATGTATATGTAAATTTATATATTGTAATAAAATAAATTTTATAAAGATTAAAAAATATAAATGTATTATAGATTATATAAATTTTTTGCTTCCATTTTTGAAGCTGCTCAAATTGCACAGACAAAGAAAGGATGTATAGACTTGGAAACACCAGATTCTATTTTGGTTAATACCAATTTAAGAGTAAGTTTTAAATTATTCTCATTTTGTTTTTAAGGATATACTAAAGTAATTAAAAGTTTATTTAAACCATTAGAATTTTAAAAATTAAAATTTTAATATGTATTGTATAGTTATATTAGTATGAAGTGCTAATCAATAATTTAACTATACATTAAGAAATATTATTGTTATAATTAAAATATCAGCAGGTAAAATAAGATGGTTTTGAAAATTTGATTAATTACTATAAATGCAAATGATTACAATCTTTTAAATAAATATGGATGGATATTTTTCTAAATTTGAACATTTAATGTGTTTGTTTGTGTATGTGTGTGAAAAAATTTATTTAAAGTTTTAAAATTATTTCAGGCACTTTTGAATAAGCACACATTTGCAAGTCTCCCGCCACTCTATCAGTATCGGCTAGTACAGCTTCTTCCACCAATAGATCATGTCATCGGTCCTGAGTATTCTGTGAGGCTGAGTGCATCTGCTCTTAGTAATGAGTTCTTTGCTCGATCTTGTCAAGAATGGAGAGAGAGATTAGCTGAAGGGGAATTTACACCTGAAAATCAACAGAAATTAAAAGCTGAGGCAGAACGTGAGCATAGCAAATTAGATCCTTGGAAGGTATTACTCAATCATTATGAGAATTTGAAAAAGTTAAATATTAATTTGAATAGAAGATATTTAATTTAATTTAATTTAATTTAATGTTTATTGATTTAAATTATTTTTTACAATGGGAGAGCAATTTGGTTATATACAGTAATGTTATGTAATTAATATACATAGTAATAAATTATTGCAAAAATTCTAAAGATTTAGAAAAGGAGGAGAAGATCTTAAATAAAGTAATTTTTGACATGTCCTTATTTTTCAAATGATTATACCTGAAATCTTCTTTTAGTACAAGACATTTTAGTTGATATATCACTTGACAAGAATCAAACAAGTGAATTAAGAGATTCTCTTTCTCTTTACTACTGCAATAACTACAAAACTTTTCTCTTGATATATTTATCTGGTAGCTCTTTAACAGAATCCAAAATTTATTAAGTCTAAGTTGTATAATGAGGCTTTTTGTGGAAAAATTAGTCTCACAGTTTAAGTAGTATGCTTTACACCAACCCAAGCGCATTTCAAACAAATTAACTCATTTAGCTGAAGTAGACAATATATCCTGATTCCACAGCTGGTCTGACTTAGTTTGAATTATTGCATTTAAGTGAGTTCTCAACAATGAAGCTGATCAAGTTGAAAACAAAAAGGAGTAACCCAAGCTATCAAAAATATTCTTAACTGACCAAAGCAGGCCAAGTTTTCTTATCAGGTTTGACTGCTGTTAACAAAACATTATAAGTAATTTGGCACAAATTGTACAAGGGTAACTTCATACAGAGTTCCTATGCACCTGGAAAGTCAGGGATTTTCATTAGTGTTTGGAAAAAGTCATGGAAAGTCAGGAAATTTGTCAAAAAATCAGGGACTTTGTCTCCTTAGCTGCTTGTTGATTTCATTTGATGAATATGGCTGACCAAGTTTAGCCATCTGCAGATAGCAAGAAGTAATGCTTCAATCTTTAATAAGAAAGTATACCAGAATCTGTTTTGAAATGGCTTTTTTCACCATTCTGAAGCCATTTTATGGTTGTAGATTACCAGCATTCACCATTTTATGGTTGTAGATTAATAACAGGATAAACTACTTTTATGTAATAGTGTTTAATTTTTCATTTTAATAATTCAGCAATTATAAAAAGATGAAATTATTAATTAGAATAAAAAAATAACTAATTAAAAATTTGTTTGCAAACTTTTAAAAGTTGAAATCATAATTTATTAGAATGTTTACTTCAAAATAGCTAAATAGATCAGTAAAAATCTGTAATTTAATTGTTTTTCATGTTTAAAACATTACTACCCAACATAAAAAATTATAAATAGTTACCTGACATTTATAGTAAAATGCTGGCGCCAACTTGTGGTTGGCACGAGCTTTTTACATTTTTGTTATGATTTTTCTTAAAAGTACTGTACTGCAAGTGTATTTTTTTTCTCCCTCTCTCTCTTCTGTTAATTTTCGCAACTTCGATACATAATTCAATAATTAGTTTAACAGAAATGACATTGGGTAACAGATATCACTAATTTTGGCAAATTTTGGCTTAAAAACTGGCAACATGATCATATCTGTAATAGATATACTGTAGTTATAGTTTTGAAAATCAATTAGGTAATCTGATAGTTTAACCAATGTTAACTTGCTTATAATTAAAATTTAAAAAGCTGGTAAATTTTAAAAATTTAATTAAATTAAACTAAAAAATTAAAATAAATTTGATTATCTTTTGTGCAAAACAACTACAAAACAATTTTTATAGTTACGTTGCAAAAGAAAGAGATTTGTAGTTACAATTTTATGTGCTGAACAGGATAAACTACTTTTATTTATTTATTTATATTTTATTATTGTATAATTGTAATTTTGATTGATGTTTATTTCTGTATAAACAGCTGTATATAAGCCTCCCATAGACCTTGCTATCCTTCAGAGACAAAAGTACCAATTAATCAAGTGGGGTGAGAACATCCAGACTACAACAAGCACAATACATCATGACGACATTGAATGGCCTATCCCATTTCGTGAATCTCTCCCTCCCAATGAAAGTACAACCGACATAGACAACACTAGTGAATCATCTAACATCAATATTTTCACGGACGGGTCTCGTATTAACAACTCTGTAGGATGCAGCTTTGTAATATATAACAACAATACAGAAATCTCTCAACAGACGTTCCAGTTGGATGATAGGTGTACTGTATTTCAAGCCGAACTATTTGCTATTGGGAAAGCAATCGACTATGTCAACCAGACCTATGAGAATGTAGCTGTCGACATATACACTGACTCTCTATCTGCATATAATTTAATCAGAAGCAACAAACTACATCCACTGGCCGTAAAAGTTAAAAACTTGATTAAAAAATCGAAATGCAATATATACATTTCCTGGGTCAGAGCCCATCAGGGCCTGAAAGGCAACGAGAGAGCAGATACTCTGGCTAAGTACGCAACCACGAAAGATAGCAACAATACTGAATATAACAAAATTAGTCAACAAACACTGCGGCAACTTTTATGGAAAGACACTTTACTACAGTGGCAAACTGCATGGGATTACGATATGCAGCACATAACCCACAGGTTTATTCCGGACTTGAAGAAATTTATTAGTATAGACTGGTATACTCCTGATTATTGCACTACCCAAATATTCACCAAGCACGGCAAGTTTGCCAATTACCTTGTCAGGTTCGCAAATAGGACTTCTGATCTTTGCCCTACATGCAATGTTGAAGACAGTCCTGAGCACTATATATATGATTGTACGGCTTTTGAACGCGAGAGGAACAAATTAAGGATACTTATTGAAGAACAGGGTATAGAATGGCCAAGCAGTCCATCGGATATCTGGCTAAACAGAGAGATCTACAACAACTTCAAACAATTTGCTAAGCAAATTTATTATGTTAACAAAACCAAGATCTACAGCTAACGCTCTGTGTTGGGGCATTATTTCGCCCCCTGATCTTTACAAGGTAACCACTACACACGAAAGAACTGTCACGTGTCTTCTAAATATATATGTTGCTCTTCTTACCAACTATGTATACTTTGTAAATATCTTAAATGTTTTTTTTTTCTTTTGTTCTTTTTATTTTTTATTTTTTATTTTCTGTACACCTCCTACAAGTGTTAATTTTATGTAATTTACCTAATCGCAATGTATTCTAATCTATACTGGCCACTTGTTCCCTGGTAATGCTTCATGCGGGGCCAGGGCATGTACAATTAATGTACCAATAAAATATAGAGTGAGTGAGTGAGTGTATTATAGGTATCTCTCTTCATGAGGACCAACAAGTTGTCCTTGTCTGCTCTGATGAGAGTTATATTATTTGTGCGCATCCATCTGTGAGAGCGCTCCACCTTATTTCTTATTTGTTTGTTCTTTTGCTTCCTTGGAATTTTTGAGAGTATGAGTGATTTTCCATCAGTAGAATTACTTATCTATGGCTGGAATTAACCGTTGTTTTGGAAAATTTTCCAATACACTAGTAGACAACCATATCCACAACACTCAATGCAACATCATTGCCGCCAATGCCGTCAATAACCTACAAGCCAGGGTAAAACACTTTGCCAGCTCTAAACTAGCGAAATGACTGGGAATGACCAACATTGTTACAGCCGCACCTGACACCCCAGAATGTTTGCGTTTGCAAAAACTCACAAACCAGGGAGGGATCTCAGACCTGTGGTGGACAAGGCCAGAACACCAACTATCAATTTAGAGAAAGCTACACAGAGATTATTAGTACCTCAACTGGACGGATACCCACACACCATAACCAGATCGGCGGACCTAGTTAACATCCTTAAACACATATCGACACCTCCGAAATTCATAACTGTCTTGGACTTCAAATCTTTATATCCTTCCATCAATCTCCCATCGGTAATTTCTGCCATAAGAGATATGCTCATGCACATGATCCAAGATAACACATTACAACAGGACATCCTAGAAATGTCACATCTGCTCTGCCACAACTCTTTCTTCAGATTCAACGGAGTCACTTACGAACAACAACGTGGTGTACCAATGGGAAGCCCAGTTGCAGGAGACCTCTGCGAGATTGTGGTGAGGAAACTCTAATCGGAATTCTTACCATCTCAACTCCCACACATTCTTCTATACAAAAGATACATCGATGATATCCTTATTCTATGGAAGAAGATCCCAAATATCTCAATGCTAATATACTCCATCAACAATAATCCCTATGGATTAACGGTGGAATTAGATCAAGCCGACCCTACCCAAGCACACTTCTTACACATTAACATCAAAATAGAGGGATCATCCATCAATACAGAAGTGTATCATAAACCAACCGCTCAACCTTTGTATATACCTGCAACATCATGTGACCCACCACAGTATAAGATGGCAGCATTCAACACACTAATCAAAAGAGCATATTCACATTCCTCGTCACAATCAGCTTTCAATTCTGAAATGCGACGCATAGAGCACATAGCTAAACAACATGGCTATCACAACGTCTTATGCAAGATAAACAACAAGGTACTCCAACAACAATCCAACAACACCTCTCATTCCAATGATTCCCTGGTTAAGTACATACCAATCACATACAACCCGGCACTTAAGGCCATATACAACCATATAGCCAAGAAAAAGAATGTCCGCTTGGCATTTAGGAGGTGCGCCACAATATTCTATTGGCTTAGGAACGGAAAAGACGCTCCAGACAGCAACAGACTTCCGGGAGTATACTCTGTGCCCATCATCGATCATAGAGACAACAGCGAAGTATTCTACATCGGGTCCACTAAACGCAACTTAGTAATTAGAATCAAAGAACACAAAGTGGACACCCTACATCATAGATACAACACCGCCTTAGCGGTATACTCCTCCGACCCAGAAATAGAGCCGCTATTCCCTCTAACCAGAATTATTCACACCACAGTCCGCACAGAACACCTCAGATGGCTAGAGGCCATATACATTTGTCTTAATACCTTCAGGAATAAGCACTGCATTAACTTCAAACAAGAAATGAAGATATCAACAGCATGGGAAGCCTTCCTCAATAAAACTCTAAAGTAACAACATACGGATAATGCGCAAGTCTACAATGACGCCATCAGTCACATGTGACAGTGTTCCAAAAAATTTTCCAAAACAACGGTTAATTCTGGAAATTTGAATTCATATAGGAAATTCCATAGTGCCTGAAGAAGAACCACATTAGGTTTGAAAACGTTTGCAAAGTCTTCTGTATTGGAGAAGAAGAACGCCGGTTACAGGCAGTGAAGTTGGGTAATCTACAGTTAATGCTTTTAACTCTCGAACACAGTGGAGCTGTAGACTAAGTCTTGGTCAGTCCCAAAATATCAGTTTTACAAATATGTTCAACAAAACCACTATCATTCAGATTAATTAGGAAGGCACCCTGGGAATTCCATGTTGAAACTTTCAATCCAACTGTACACTTCCTTGGATCAGAGAATGAAGATTTTGAGAAGTAGCCATTTGATTTTCTGCTAAAAAAATCAAGTTTTAATAATTCTCCTCTATCTAGGTCATAAATATATCTCTCAGTGCCAATCTGCAAAACATCAGCTATTAGTCAAACTCTCCTGCCTTCCAGCCTATAATCATGTAAAAAGGGCAGGAGTTTCTTTCATCTCAGTCTTGAATGCCAACATAAATCATCAAAAACTTGTATATTCTTCAATGCATCATTAGCCTTTATCTTTCTAATGGTACCACAAATTAATTTCTTGTCTGTAAATGACTGTAATTTCACCAATACAATATCTGATTGGTTAAATTTCACTATCTTAACTGTTGGAATTGATTTTGATTCATCTATCTGTTTAGTAAACAGGTTTTCCACTTTCTTATTCAAATCAGAATTATCATCAGTCAAACCTTTAATTAAGATATTTTTCTTTCTCATTTCATTTGACACCTTATCTATTGAATGCATGATTAAACTATTTTTCCGTTTCAAGTCATCTTTAAGTTTGGAAATTTCTTCTAGTTTAACCTCCAAATGGGTTAATCATTGATCATGTTCATTATGTAAATTAACCAACCAGTCAATCCTTGTAACAACCTTGCTTAATGTCGAAAAAAGCTTATCAAATTGGTTGTCTAAATATGAAATAATCTCATTAGGAATAGACTTACTTGAGTCTAACTTTGAAGAGAAAAATCCTCTAGTCTCGCTGACTTCAAGGAATGTTTGCTTGGAGAATGACGTCATTTTACTGTAGATGCCGATGATTGAATCTGTGAATGTGGCGGAGTACGATCAACAGGACCAGTATTTAATTCTATCCTACTTAATATTAACAACAACTCAAACACCATTATCCAAAACTCAATATTTTCCATAATTTTAAAATTCAAAAGTCTTTGTATCTATCATTGATGTTAGATGAACATGTGTGCTCTTCTTATTAATGCTTTGAAACTTGCCAATTTATATGAATACAGATTGTGATATAGCAGGGATAAAAGATGTAGGTTCTTGATATATAGATATCTTGATCCATCGTTTCTGGTAGTAGCATGATTTCACATTCATAAAAGTTTTGGTCATTGTTTACAAAAAACTGATCCAAGTGATTTTTGACATTGTCATTTCAAGTAAATGTCTTACAGTTAAAAAAATTTGTATAGACCAGAATAAGGAATAATCTTAGTGTGCTCGATCTGGCTAATATGGTTGGTGTGATAGCATGTCCCATCTAAGTTATAACAGTTTCTGATGAGTTACCAAACTTGTGTGAAATTTGACATTATCGTGGTAAAACACTACATCTGTTTTGTTGATCAATTCTGGCCGCATTTTCTGTTTGATGATACTCAGTTTACTCAGTGGCAGTACATTTTTGAATCAATTGTTAAATTGTCTGGTAAAGCTCCAAAAAAAAAATTTCGTTAAAATCCCACCAAAGAGAGCTTATCTCTTTAAGAAGCATGTGAAACGCATATATCAAGCTTTGAAACAAAACCAATTTGTTTCAAGTAATCATAAACAGTTCAATTTGACAAATTTAATCTCTTAGTGATTTCACATGTTGTTATTTGGCAGTTTGCTTCAATCAGTGCCTTTATTTTGTTTTCATTGGCTTCAACTTGCCATCCAGAACATGGTGCATCTTCAATATTGAAATTGCCAGAACGGAATTTTGTAAACCAGTTTTGGCACTGTCGTTCTGTCAATACATCGTCTCCATACACGTCACACAATTTTTTTCTTGCTTGAACAGCATTCTTACCTTTTCGGTAATAAAAGAGCAAAATATGCCGAAAATGCTGCTTTCGATCTTCCATATTTGATGGGACACAAAAAATAAACAATTGCAAAAATCAAATAAAATTTTTTACAAATAAGCCTTAAAATGCTAGCTGTCAAAATATATAATGATAATATGGTTTAGAATGAAAATGGCGGGAAAAATACGATTAATTTGTCTAGTGGTACAAAAAAGACAAAATTACTTTCCAAACAACCCAATGTGTTATGAAAAAATAATATGTTTTTTTAAAATTCTACTGTTTTAAAAATCCCTATGCTTCAGCTTGCAATATGCAGCTAGTCATCCGTATCTCACCATCAATGTTGCTTGATCTAGATGAGTTATATTGTACACTACCTGGGTGTGAGCGGTGATATATATATAGATTGAAGACTATGGAACCCAATGGAATGGAATGTTTACTGTACTGTAAACAGACTTATGGGTCATCAGACACTAATATTGAAATGATACATAATATGCCTCAATGTTGCTTATTGTTTAGTGATTACAAGATTGAAAAGCTATTGGTGGTTTTTATCTATGACCACCTATCTCATGTCTGTATCTGTGTGTGTAATTCTTAAATTCCCTTTAGATTCCTAAAACTGGGAATATCCAAAAGCAGTGGTCACCACAGAAATTACCTTTTTTATGCTTACAATTTGTCTTCAGTTAAGGATGACAAATCTTGTCCCTATGGCTTTGTTAAATCTACTGTTTTATTACACATTGACCAAGGGTAGTCTGTGGTTTGTTAATAAATATTACATGAGCAGTTGAGCTGCTTTGCATTTCCTTCTGGAGGGAGGCAAGAAACTTATTGTGTTTCTATCTCTTGTTTTTTTTGTATTTCAGTTTGTGTATTCAGAATTTTAAAAATTGCAATAATTAATTTTTTCGATTAAATAATTTTAGATATTTATTAGTTTTAGAATAAAAAGTAAAGAAAATACCATAAAATGATAGAATTAAAGATAAAAGTTCTATTGTCACTAAACCAGCAAAAGAAATTATTTAAAAAATATTTTTATTATTAATATCAACCAGTAATTGCGTGTTGTTTTTGTATAGAATTAAAGTATTAATATTTCTTTTTTCCATGCTTTTACTATATTGGTATTTGAATTTACTGAATATTTCATAATTTATATTTTTATATAATAATATATAGCAGTTTCATTAAAATGTTTTACTAGATTATACGTGTAAAGATTTCTTCATGTTAAAAAAACACCTCATAAACTCTAAAATGATATAAATACTCACAGACATCAGTACTAGTTCCAGCAGAGACAGCTATATTGGCACAAACATTTTCGGACACTTTCAGAGATCATTTTCATGTTGTTATGCATTTCTGTAAATTGAATTCTTTTATTTGAAAAACTGTTTTAAAATGGAACATTCTATATACCATGTGATGATATTAAAATTCAAAACATAAATGTGACATATTTAATGATGAAATGTGGCATAATAAAAAAAACAGAATAGTGTATACTGAATACAGAAATGAAACCCTGGTTAGTAGCAACGATGCTACTAATGTGGGTTTCATTTCTAACTAAGAAAAAAAATTATGTTAAATGTGATGTACTTAATGACAAAAATATATGTTTTTAGTTTGAATATCATTACATGGTGTATAGAATGTTCCATTTTAAAATGGTTGTTCAAATAATAGCATTCGATTTAAGGAAAAGCATAGTAACCTGAAGATCTCTGAAAGTGATTAAAGATGTTTATTTGTGCTAACATAGCTGTCTGCTGGAACCATAATAGATATCAGTGAGTATTTATTCATGTTTTCATAGCAATTAAATCATAATATATTTTTTAATACTTTTTAGTTTGTTTTAATTAATTTTAATAATAATTTTTTTCAGATTAAGTATTTTGAACCTGTATGGGGCCAGAAGTGAGTATCTTTTGGAATGGCTATTAATTTTTGATATAATTTTTTCATTTATTTGGATTTATTTATCATATATAAAATATAGTTTTCAATATATAATAATAATTATATTCTCTGAGAGTTAAATTTTTTTTTTTTAACTTTTATGGAATTTCTTAAAGTTTCTATTCAGAAACATTATTTAAACTACAGTGAAACCTCAATCTAGTCTTCTTGGATGTATTGTGTGAGAACCGAAGGGGTAGAGCACTGAGCTTCTCCCCACTTATCGACTTTTTTGTCAGGGATGGTCGGTCTGGTCAATGAGTAGGAGGGTGAGCAAGGTCGTGATAAGGTGTCAGTCGTACTCAAGGATGACACTTAATTAATTATAAGAATAACATATTTAATTAACCATAAGCTATACAAACGAGTACAAATCAAAAGGCTACAAAAAGGGAGTAATCCAAAAATACTTCTAAATCGCGACAAGGATAGACTGTCTTCGATAAGTCATCTAAATTCTGGGTCTTTGTAGGTCCCAATATTTTCTTAAGTTCAACTAACCTAAGTCTAGTCTATATACTAAGACCAGAGAGAGATGAGAGAGAGAGAGAGTTAAAAATTTTGCTATGTGTTTACTTCATGGGTTCCCGTAGTCGAGAGACAGACAGCGATTACGGTGGAAAGGCAAGGGTGGCAACAGATGGAATGGCGGTATGGGTCTGATGTCCCGGGTAATGTCTGCTGGTGATGTCTGCCGTTGATGTCCCCTGATGCTGTCCGCCCAGAGGACTGTGTCCAAGCCCTTTTTATACACTCCCGGAGGACTTACTAATACTAAGTTTGATGCAATCCCATCTAAGGTTGACTAGCGTCCAGGATTTGTTTAGGTTAATTGTCAGAAATTGAAACATTTCTGTAGATTTATTACTTTTTCTATCTGGTATTGTCACTCTTTCCATCTCATAAATTTGATAACAGCTGTCAAAACAACTGAAGTAATTACTGAGGTGACTAAGGTCAGAGTTAGTCTTGCACCTTAGTAATAATTGTTCCTTATATGGTCATCTAGATCGGCTTTATCATTCGTAACATTATATGCCATAGGAAGTGTATGGGTTGTGTTTTTCTCTTTTCTCTCAGGAAGGGTTAAAAGGTTTCGTCACTTCGAGAAGTGACGAAAAATTGAATTGATGAAAAAAATGATTGAACTGTCAAAATTCAGACATGAGCTTGAATTCTCACAATTGCTTTTCCAGAACTATCATTCAATATTGAAAAAAAAAAAAAACTTGTTTGAACTATGAAAATTAAACTTGCATTACTTGTCTCTCAATTTTTTTTTTTTTGCATCTATTGGCTAGAATTTTTAATCCTGAAGAATGTTAATTCCATAATTTTTTATATTTGTACACACACAAAAATGTTAATATCCAATTGCTAGTAGCAATTGCAGCAATTAATTTTTTTGGAATGTGATGTAGCAAGTAGTGGTTTGTAGTGATCTTGCATCTAACTGTAGAACAGATTGGACTTCACGATGGAAAAAATATTATTGATGTATGTTTTTTGACATACAGGCAAATATGACTGTTTCTTCTTATGTACAGGGTGTCCACAAAGTCTGGGTACATAAGAATTAACACATACTTTTAAAACAAAATGATTTTATTTGATTCTAATATTAATAAATAACATTTTCAATACATAATTTGATGTACCATAATTTGTGGACACCATTACCAGTGTGCTGAAATCAACGGCAATATAGACTTATTTAATCGAGTTCACCCGAATTTTGCAAGGCGCATCAAATTATGTATTGAAAATGATGGAAATCATATTGAAAATGTTATTTATTAATATTAGAATCAAATAAAATTATTTTGTTTTAAAAGTATGTGTTAATTCTTATGTACCCAGACTTTGTGGACACCCTGTAGATCTTTAGGTCTTTTGTTTTTTTGTAGCCATATGATTAAGGTTTCACTGTGTGTTTAGTTTACAACTAGTTACTAAATAATAAAATTTAAAATTAATTTTAGTAATTGTAATTTTAGGTTACAATTAATTAGATAGAAATGAATCATATACAGTATTTTACTTCATCATATTTGATAATAGTATGTTATTAAATGTACATGTACATGTATCCAATGTACAACATTCCATTTGACTGTTTTGCCTTGAGTTATCTTGGAATAAGGCTTATTTTTACAGCTTTTTCCTCATATTGTCACTGTTCTTTTATTAGCTACATTAACACATTTTTAAGAAAAATCAACTTTCTGCAGACAATTTTATCATTCTTAAAAATACTGTACAGTATGTTACAGTTATGTAAATTATTGATATATTCATATCTTTATAAAAGTAGAAAAATTTGATTAAATTTTGATAAATTTATTTCATTATCTTTTCATTTTGCAAGCTTGGTAAACCAGAATCTGTACATATGAAGAAATTTATGAATAGTTTATTGTATTTTAATGATAAAAACATACAATCATTTATATTTATGCAACTGTAGTAACTGTTTTAGAACACTCAAGGTTAACAGAGTATTATCCAAGGTAATAAGGTATCATATGGACAAAAAGTGTGAAATTCAAATAATAACTGCTAAAAACTGGTTAATTGTTTGATGTATTCTATACCACTTAATTACCACTGATTTAATAGAGCATTAGAATATGTAGGTTATGTAGGTTCCACAAAACCACACATCACACATACCAGGGTCACTGACATAGCTCGCCAAGGCAGGGATGTTTAGACTTCTATAAATAGAAGCCTAACACCACTGCCTTGGACACCTATGTCTGTGACCCTGAAATTGAGGTACATTTTTATAGTACCTGACTTCTACACTGTACAGGCAATAGAACTTGACTCAAATTTCTGGAGCTGTTAGAAATTTATGAAGCTACTGCAAGAGATGAAGCCATTAACTTCGAGGATGCAGATTAATTTCCAACAGCTTGAAAGACCCACTTCTTATCATAATTTTGCAGTATATGACACTGTTGAAGTGACCAGTCCACTAATAAACAAGCCTCTATATTTCAAATTTAGAATGTTAAGAGCCTGAAGATGTCTATTTAACACAGAGGAACATGTTTGCTAATATGAGTTTTTTACCATTTATACTGGTGTTTTTGGTTTTGTAACGGTTATTTATTTAAATGTAAAATTTTTTACTATAACAAATCCAGTATGATGGAAGTCCATGATTTTTTTTACAATAAGAGTTGATTACATAAGAAAAAAAAATAGTTTAAATATTTTATAGTTCTTTAAATAACTCTTTTTATCATAGACCCACATCTGATTTTCCTGAACAAGGAAAAACATCTTCATTTTTAATGGGTGCATCACCCTTGAAATCTTCACTTACAACACCATCTAAACATGTGCCAACAATTAAAATTAAGCAATTGGTGAAGAAGAACAGATTGGTTCCGGCAATTCTTAAACATCGTTCCTCCGTAGCTGTTAGTTCATCTACAAATAACTATCAGGTAAATTATTGGATAGTTAGAAACATCATCCCTAAGATAATTAATAATAAATTACATTATGGATTACAAGATTCATATTTTCACAGAAAATTCCCTTATTGTAATTCATCAGGTATCATCAAATCTCAATGCTGTATCCCATTCCAAATTAGCATGCAATGTGTCTGACGGAACAAGTAACGATTCTTCGTCACTTAAAAGGCCTCTGAAAATAACTATAGATTCTTCATCGTTGACTTGTAATAAAAAAATAAAACCCAGCACTGGATTTACAACAAATCCTGTTATTACAAGTATGTATTTTTTGTTTTATATTTAATTTAATGGGAAAAAAACAGAATACTTATCTTGATGGAAGTATTCTGCTTGGAAATTTTTATTTATTAAAGTCTTAATTATTTTAAAATAAATTAGAAAAGTTGTATATATAATTTGATAAAACATTGAAGTATTAGTTATTTTTCATATATAATTTTTCTATAATAAATTCTAAGCATTGAAAATTTAATAAATTTTTAAATTTTAATTTATGTTGAACAAGCACTATTATTAATTAAATTGCTAGGTGAAACTAGTATTGAGAATATTTTCAAGAAAATGTTTTCATCATCATTAATTATATAACTTACTAAAAGAAATACAGGTAACCCTCAGTTTATGCCACAGTTCTGTTCCTACAAAAGCCGGCATAAAATGAACCCATATTTACAGTGAGGTAAAGGGTTAGGGTTCTACTTAAGTGAAAAATAAGCAAATAATTTTGCTTATTAATACAATATAATACAAAGTACATATATTATAAATTTAATATTTAAAATGTATTTTATGATAAAATAAAGTGAAATATTTTTATTAAAAAATCTTAAGAAAAGCAAATGATATTTCAAAGTTTTGGATCTCTTACATTTTTCAGAAAAAAGTATTCATCTTTAATTGTTTAGATTTTTGTTTTCTTTCATTAAGAATTTTGGAATATGGTCGAATGGATGCGATAATGCTCATTTTTACATTTGCACTTCGCTCCCAATTGTTGTCTAACTCACAAAGTTCATCCATCAAACTTTCCATAGTTGAAAGGATACGCTTTAGATTGACCATTTTCATAACTCTTGGCGTTTCTTTTTAGTTTTCTTCCTTCTCTGACTGTTCACAATCTAATTCTTTGTATAATTCTTCTGTCTTCATTCAAGAGTGGCTGATCATGGGCTTCTAAAAATTCTGTAACATCTTCTAATCCCACATCACATGCAAGGCTGGTAATGTCTTCAATTAAATTCTCCTGATGTACTACTTCTTTGAAATCAATGCTAGCAGAAGTTTACACCAAACTTCATTTAAGCATTTTGCTGAAACTTCATTCCAAGCCGACTTGATGTTTTTAATGCCTTTCAAAATATCAAAAGACCACTAATAGTCTTTAACTGTTTTGTCTGAAGTGTCTAAAACTCTCATTATTTCCATTAATGTATTACGGAGATAATAAGCTTTGAAGGTTGCAATAACCCCCTGATCTATTGGTTGCAAAAGAGATGTATTAGGAAGCATGTAAATAACCTTGACATCCAATGGTGTTCTTATTTCATCAAGGGTTTGTGGATGTCCTTGAACTTTGTCCAAGAGAAGAAGTCTTGCCTTGAGTGGTAATTTATTTTTTTCACAAAAGTGAAGCACAGTTGGGCAAAAATAACTTGTGTACCAATCTGTGAAAACATCTTGTGTGACCCAAGCTTTCTTGTTTCATTTCCAATAAACTGGCAATGTGTCTTTATTTAGACCCTTTAAAGCATATGATGCCTGTGAATGATACACTAACATCGGTTTAAGTTCCAAAGATCCTGAAACATTGGCTCCCAACAAAAGAGTTAATCTATCTTTTGCAGCTTTAAAACCTGGAGTGGAACATTCTTTACAAGAAATAAAAGTTTATGCTGGTAACTTTTTCCAATAAAGACCAGTCTCATCAATGTTAAAAGATTAGGTCTGGAGAATAGTTGCCTTGTTCTACATAACCCTGAAATTCCTTAGGAAAAGCAGCTGTCGCCGCAACATCTGCACTTACTGCTTCACCACATAATTTTACACTATGACTGTTACTTTGGGATTTAAATCTCATAAAACAACCCTTGCTTCCTAAAAAAGTTTCTTTGCCTCCATCTGTCTCTTTAAGATTATCAAAAATTGATTTTGCTTTTTCAGTTATAGCAGCTTGAATCAAGGGAATGTTTTTTTTTTATTTGCATCATCCACCCATAAAGATGACAATTTTTCCATTTTGTTCAAAAATTTTACCTCTGCTATAACTCACATGTTTTACATTTACTGCCATAAACTGTTGTGCAGAGTGTTTAATTTTATCTGCATTTTTCATAATGGTAGTAATAGTCAATGGAGGTAAGTTCAAAGATCTACAGACATTAGGGCATGTTTGTCCATTTTCCATTTGTCAAATAACTGCCATTTTTTTTCTAGGGAGATACATTGCCATGCTTTCTTAATATGTTTAGATAACTTCTGGTGCACTTCTTTTATGTGACATAATAACCCTCCTTTATTCTTGTATACGTGTGTACCTGAACATTTAGTATTTTAATATTTTTATTTATATTAATATTAATTTAATGTAAATGTATACAAATCCAACAATATTAAACAGAAAAAATAAATATATTCGATAAAAATCCTTGTTTTAACAAATATACTATGTTGTGGCTTAGTAAATATGTCAACACTGAAACGAAAATCAGTCTAGCATAGGGAGAGTCAGGAAATTACACAGCAAATTGTGTAGCGGCATTATTGTGAATCAGCCTAAATTCAGTCGGCGTAAATGAAGGGCTACCTGTAATGGGTTAAAAAATATGAAAAATATTATTTCAGTATATTATCATTTACAAATCATTGTATTTATCTCAATAACAGCATATAATTTTGTATTTATATGTTGCATCTACAACTTGTCTCCATAAAGTTTCAAGACTGATTTTTATTAAATTAATTTCTAAAACTATTTTTTTATTTTATTATCATGAGAATAAACTATACAAACAGTAGCTCTGCAACTATGGAAAAACAAATTGCATTAAATTTTGTTTCAAGCTGAATAAAAGTACCATCTAGATGTGCTATCTATTACAGTAAGTATATAGTAATACAGTTTTACAATGTATAGTACACATGTTTGAGTAGTGTAGATTTTTATTTCATTCCATTCAAGAAAGCATAACTGAAACAATTTGTAATCTTTGTGACGTTTTGCAAACAAATTGCCATTAAAAATTGTTGACCCAGTCAGTTTTCAGCTGTGCATGAGAGGTGCCTGACCTGAAACTGTTTTCTTCTGCCAGGAAATGCTTAATAACGCTCAAGCATGTGCACGTGATATTGTCATATCACCATATGCTTGCTATAATTTGTTACGAGGATGGTAGAACCCTCGACTACATACATAAAAGGTACTCTACTGCAAAGATCGATGATAAGCTGGCGAGAGCGCTGGACTCTAAGTACAGTAGGTAGACCAACCTATGCCTTCGTGCCTGTAGTTGGCCTCACTCCGATAAGTTGTTGCTCGTTGTCGACTCAAATCTTAACAGGCCACGGGAGGTTCCCCCACTTCAAGTCCAAGTTCGGACAAGGAGATGGTAGCTGCCCCTGTGGCAGTCTTCACGGAGACACGAGGCATTATGTACTTGACTGTCCCCTAACGAGGGACTTCCGCCTAGGGGCGGACCAAGTTGACTGGTCTAAGCCCCCTGAACAAGTACTTCGAACGCTAGCAGCTAGTAAAGGGAACCTAATGAAACTAAAGGAATTGATGGGAAAAATCATAGATCTCTTTGATCTATAGGTTTGAAGGCTTATCTGGGCCCTCTCTCCTCGGGGTAAGGGCCCCGTTGTCCGTATGCCTACTACATGTAGGTATAAGTATGTGTGTTTTGTATATGTGAGCTGATTCAGGTTTAGTTGTGTGGACCATAAGTGCAGTGCAGGCTGCACAAACAAAAGTTATGCCAAGTTAGTGAGCTGGGCCGGGGTGCGGACGGGAGTCTGGATGATGCATCATAGGGCCCAGCTATGACGTCCCTGTCTACCGCGTCAGGTACCGACCAGTCGATGAACAAGGCATAGTCTCTTTTAACCCTGTAGTGCCAATAGGCGGGGCAGGGCAAAGAGTTCCTTATGAGACTGCTACAATAGACTGAGTTTTAGCAAAATTTTCATCTAACTTGAAGCAAAACTTAATGTTCAATTCTTTGTCCATTGTTATGATAAATGTTTCTAACAAAGTTCCTGGTAGATACAAAAACAAAATTGTAGTATTTATTGATACAGAGATTAATTTATCAAAATTTGTACAGAGATAAGGAAATTAATCAAGTTTACTTCCATAAAAATAAAATAAATTGATATAACATTTCTTTAATAAAATTAATTTTGGAAGTTTACGGATATTTAAAATGTACATAAAAACCACAGCAATAAATTGGAACAATATATATAGACTCTCATCTAAACACAAAATTTCCAGCAAAACACCCAAATTCAACATTTGAACATTTTCGGCCACTCCTTAATCAGCCTTCTTCAGGAAAAGTCAAAATGAAAATAACTGTTCTATTTATAGAATTTAGCTGCATTCTACAAGTAATTTAAAAAAAATTTTTTTAATCAGTTTGAACAATGGCTGTGACATATAGTAAGCAACATACATTCTTTTAAGAATCTAAATAATACTTCCATGCATTTGTATGGGAATGTAATTGTTTATGTTGATGCATGCTCCTCTTATGTAAACCCTATAGATTTCTGCGGTCTCTAATGCTCTTATGTGTTGTCTGTCAAATACCCTGTGTATTAGGGTAGCCTTATCCCATAAGGGAAAATTCCTGGATCGGTGGCATACCATTTCAGAGCCATATTGATGTTTTCTTTTGCTATTGATATTTAAACATATAAATTTAAAAAAAAAGAATGTTAATATATTTCTAGAAAATCATTTATTTCTTTTAAGTGATTTATATAAGTTTTAAACTTCAATATAACATTTTTATAAATGAACGTTACACTATCCAGAACCTGTGATAGGTGCTCTACGTGTATATATTGTATATCGCTTGACAAACGTTTTCGAGCGATCAGTTTGCTCTTCTTCAGGTCGACTGAAAATTCCCCGGATAGAGTGTATATTATTTGTTGGGATCGGGTGTCGGTTCCAACTGGGTGGGTCGTTTCTGGCATGCACGGTTGTGTGGTGGGGGAGGAAACGGCGGGTTGGCGTCTAATGGCGATTGCC